TGATCATAAGGGTCGCACAGTTCATGTATTTACTGGAGCACTACTGAGGTACTGCAGCCCAATACCTCAACAGTGTCGTATTTGCACAAGTACATGTATCACAATGAAGAGGAGGCAGAGTCTAACAATCACTTTGTACATATGTTTTGATCTAGGTCTACAGAAAAAACGACTGCAATGTTTTGGAGGTCTTGTTTTTTAATAGCGTAGCAAAGTGGATTTTTCGTATTTCCTTGACTTCAACCGGAAGACAGAATTATAATGGATTTAAGTAATATATGTACGTGTGTCGAAACTATGGATTAGTTTTGGTCCTTAGAACGTGTGTTGATACAACTATCAAAACTTCTGCTCGGTGTAAGCGATTGCACACGGTGTGATCTATGATGCCTTAGAGAATTGAGTCTCAGCAACCGTTGTTATCTCCGTGTGTAATGGAAATATATTAAAGTGGGCAATAGATGACACTGAGTAGACGTGTTTATAGTTGTATCAGTACACGTCCCTTCAACCAAAATATTAATCCATTTTTTCAACACTTATATTACTTTCGACGTACTTATATTATTTGAAACTGCAAAGCAATGCAATTTTTTTGTCCTAATCTGAAAAGTTATATAAAAAACTAAAAAGATCAAGAAGACTCTCTGTTCTTTTACTTATTAAAACTTCATAAGTCCATTCAAAAATTCATTAAACTACTTCTACTGGAATGTACCGCCTCAAAAATAATAAATGTAAGTAAAGAAATTAAACCAAAGCAGAATTGATAGATTTTCTTCTTTTTTCACTTTTCGTTGCTTTACATAAGCAACAAATTAAATGAAAATTCTTTCGAAAGTTTAAGTCCGTCGTGCCGGTACCACACCCACTGCGACCACTGCTTCTCTTGTGGCCATTAATGTTATGCGTCAATTTTTCATTAATTTCAGGTCACACTCTACGAAATGTTTAAATATTCTTTAAAGATACTTTCTTCTGGAAACTTCTCCTTTCGTTTTAATTTTTCTGTTCCTTTCACTTGATTTCTTTTCTTTCTCAAATTTGATTCGCTTTTAATTACTTTCTGGCATAATTTTAGGCTTTTAATTACGGCACGGTCACCACTTGCTGATTTTGTAAATGCCCGACGTTTAATTTGTATTACTAATTTTGTAATTTGAGTTTTATACTCTCACCTCCTCCTCTGGCTCGCTTTTCAATAAATAAAATCGTTGAACTTAAAGGCGAAATTGTATTTTCGGCAAGCAACAACAAAAATGGCATTGCATATTTATGGGCGTCAATACGGCATGTAATGCGAAACATATAAAATATTCTTATACCGTCTACTTCAGTGTAATTTATTTTGCATACAAATTTTATTTAAATCACTTAACGTTAACGATTGATATATTTGTCAAGTCATTAAAACGTAATTAATTACAATACTTTAATTAATTTTAATTGCTGTAATGGCTTAGTTGTGCCGATAATAATACCAGAAACAGCAGCTACAGTCACAGGAGCAGCGGGAGAAGCCAAATTCAATAGGCATTGTACAGGCGTAATAAATATAAAATTGTTTCCTTTAGCCATAAAACAGTGCCATTCCCGCAATGTGCATAGTTCTATTTTCAAGCTAATCAAATGCAAAACTGATGGCCAACGATTTTAGAGTGTGGCGTACAATTTCAGGATGTCGATTCTGCTGATGCCGCCGAAGCTGCTTCTGGTGGTGCAACAACAGCGAGCATCTAAGTAACGAACTTTGTGGATACAACATTGACAGCACATTCAGTCTCTAATTGAATACTGACATGACTTTCCTATATCACAACTCTTTGATCTGGATACTCGTACGAGTACGAGTCTGCAAAAAATATGTGTATATACCGCTGTGTAAAAATATACGAAGCATTCGGTTTGCGGCTATGAATGTGGCTGGAATGGATTTATACACTGGTTCATACCTATCATGGCAGTGGCAGCAGCGTTTATAATGCACTCATGTTTTATTCAGCAATACTTTTAGCGCAAATTTGCGCTTGGACACTTTATTGCCTTTTAGAAAAATGGCAACTCGCATAAAATATTCGAAGCATTTATTGTTTTTCCATTTTACTTACAAACATAGTTTCGCAGTTTTTCAGTTTTTCAAAAAAAAAAATAAATTTCTAATAAATTTCGCACGCCACTTTTTCTATACTAAGTACGTACATGCAATTTCGAATTGTTATTTCGATTGACTAGAAATGAAATGAAATTTCTAACAAATTGAAATTTATTCTATATGCTTTGATTTTCACTTTAGACGAAATTCTACACTACTTATTTGATACATAAACTTTGACTTTTCAAAGCAATAATATCATATATTTTAAGCTGAGCTAAAGATCTTAGGTCTTAGCACTTTTAATGCCCTAAGCTAGTTTACTACCACGTCTCTTATCTACTATCGAGATCCACATAAATAAAGCTCTCAGTGCCAATCTAACTATTGATATCTGTGTAAAATATATGCAACTGTTCTCAACGACACCGCCAGTTATCATGCACTGCTCAATATGATCTAATATATCTCGCACATCTGAGTTTACTATTTACGTAAAGTAAAAGGAAGTGATAAGTAAACCCTACTTAAAACCTTAAAAGTGCTAAATAAGATTAATACGATTAGACGTAAAAAGACTTAATGAAAAATTATTTCCTGAATGTAATGCAACTTCATTTCTGTTACACTGGGTAGTCGCCCTACTTTACCCACCATTAACGCCGCTACTATACAGAACGATTTCATGAAATCGGGAAAACAGATGGATTTAGTAATGGAAGCACTGTTCCTACAATAATGAGAATATTAAAAGAGAAAACAAAATATACCAATAAGAAACGGATAAAACAACTTTAGGAACTATTCACGGTTTTTTTCAATAAGCCGTTAGTAGGAGTAGGACAAATTATAGAATGAAGTCAGTGACTATAGTTTATGATTATGGTTCACGTTTATAGTCTATTGGACTCGTGTGTCTGCCTGCTGGTAGTGTTGACGCTCTTAGCAGTAGCTCATGGCACGGTGGCTAGACCGGTATGCTCGCTGGTTTTGGGGGTAGGGTCCTTGACAATTGAAAAATCGCTACAAACACTATAATTTTTTAGTGAAAAACATGTCACGGTTTTTTTTTGTTGTTGTCTATAACGATTTTCCAGTTACCAAGAATCCCACCCCAAAACCGGCGTAGCCACCGTGCCGGGCTCGCCAACGTGCCATGAGTGACTTCTGAGAGCGTCAACACTACCAACAAGCAGACGCAACAGGACATCGTACTTGGACATTAACTGAATATATAGAATTTTTAGACTTTAAGTATCTTCTATCTATCTATATAATTTTGATCTTTTTGTTGATGTTGATGTTGATATAAATCTAAACTTGTAAACTGAGTCAGTCTGATATAAATGTATACAAACTTAATATAGAAATTTAGATTCATATTAACACAGACAATAAGATTAGGATTTAATAGATAGGTATATAGATGGTACTTTAAATCAAAGAATTATATATAAATGTTTAATAACTAAAACTTTTTTCGAAGAATTCTTTTAATAAGTAAATATACCCTGTATGGTTAGCAAAACAATTTAATTAATTGAAAATGTTTTATTACAGTACATTACGATTTGCTACTTTTTAAATTAATACTAAAATAGATCTATAAATTTTTGATATAAATTTTGAATATACTAATTTTAAACACTTGTATCCCTATTGACCGTGTCCTTAAACGTAATGACATAATGTAATGCTTATTAATGAAACAAATAATTGTTTCATTTAATTGGTGCATGTATCTATAAATTGCATGTATTGACCCATATCTGTACGTGTTACAGATATTTCTATATATTGTGTGTATTTATTGTGAAATACTCGTATACAATCGAATCATTTATAGATACAAACAAATATAGTATATTAAAGTGGCGTCAATAATGAATTCCAAACAAATCTGCATAGAAGCTGTGTTCGCTTTTGCTACCCAAAGTTCCAGAGTTGCAGAGTTGCAAAGATGGCATTATTGAATTATTCTATACATAATAAATGATTTTTGAGGGGAGCATGCGAAGGGCATATCCCTCAAGTATAAACTCCCTAAAGTCACATTTACTACTCATTTCCTGCATAAGACGATAATGAGTGAAATATTTCAAATGTAATACTGATTTGATTCAATTTGATTATGATTCATGCTGATTATGATTATGATTCCGATAATCATGATGAAAGTTAAATATTTTCGCTAATCAACAAAATTTTGGCAAGTCAATCAAAGCGAAATGAGATACATAAATCATTTATGAGGAATTTCGAAATAAATGGTTTCGAGCCAAATTCACACACAGAAATGAGTAAATACAAATAAAAGTAGTCGCAAGGGCATGTCGACGCCCTGGTAGTATGTACTACGTTAGCAGTCATCAGCACTCTCAACAGGATAACAGCAGCAGTAGGGCGGTCAGCTACTGTTGACCCAAAAGGACTTGAATAATTGAATATCAAATCTAATCCTTCAAACTTTACGCACAACTTAAGTTCTATCGAAATATTAATGTATGTATGTATGTATGTATGTGGGACTTGGGAAAAATGAAAATGGAAAGAAAACTTTAATGATGAAAAGCACAAACAGTGGCGAAGAAGCACAGCAAAACAAGTTGTTGCCGGTCAGTTTTGTTAATTTAGTCAAACATTGTTTGTTGCTGTTGTTATTGTTGTTTGTTGAGCAGCAATTGTTTGCTCATGTAGACAAAATGACACATCATTAATCAGACATTAACGCTGCATATACTATACACCAAGTTTATCCACAAAGTGTTTACAGGTCTGTCAGTTAAAGTGTAGAAAGCGTTAGTTAAGCATTGTGTCAATTTTTTCTTTAACTATGTCATTTTTTTTTGTTTTGTTTCCTTGTAAATTATTTCAATTCATTTTATCCACAACTTTTATGCCTTTACAGGTTATCCCGTGTTCTGAAATGCCACCGAATTACACGCTACAACAGGAATTGCCACCAGCGAGAAGGACATCCTACGCCAGGACATCGACTACGGGCTTATGAGCTACACACAATCGGCAGGTATAGAAGCAACAACAACAGCAGCAAACGTAAAGTACTGCACTGGCTGGGTATGTTGTTGCGGTATTAATAAATTACGAGGTAGAAAACAATACTAAAACCGAAAATATTAGTCAAAACAAGCAGCGAATATAATAGATATAATAAACCAAAATATACGAGCATTACGGAAATATTTTGGTATCTGCACATTGTTTTCATCATTCCCGTCTCTTTATTTGGTTAATAAGGCAGTTGCGGTGCTGCTGGCGTTGTTAATTAACACTTTAGCTACTTTCTGTGTCGTTTTGTTTGAATGGTTAATCTGTCCGTCTGTCCAGCTGTCTGTCTGTCTGGCGATGAATTTCACAGTTAATCTGTCTACGTACTTCCACAGTTGTTTGTGCTGCTAGCGCAACTTTTGCACAACAAATACGATCCCATAAACACAGCTGGTATACATAGAGCAGGCAATGGTTATCGCAATGTGGACACATTATCCTTGCGTCCGTCATCCTAGTCAGCGTCGAGACAAAACAAGGGAAATAAAGGAAAAAAATAACAAAAATTGATTTATGTATTGACATAAAGCATATAAAAAATAAACGGCGACTCATCAATATATTAGTGCATGATTAAGTGAGTTCAAGGATAATGTTCATAATGAACTTGTTAAGTTTGAATAAAATGATGGAATTGATTTTCTTTATAAATATTTACAAATATACCAATACAAAAGTACTTATGTATGTAGTCTTCTTTCACAGTATCGTTAAGGAATCGTAAGTTAAAGATAATTCAACTAATTTAACTTAGTTAAGCGCATTCATTGTATGTTTATTTTATTAATTTTTAAATCTATTAGCAAATTTACTTCAATGTTATAATAAATTTAGGTGTAGTTTAGTGAATAAACTTAATTCAAACAATAATAAAAGCATTCAAATAAGAATATTGTTTTATTTATTAAAAAAAAAAATTCTTAGTACTTAAAGGAAAATAACCCAAAGAAGTTAGTCACTTAAATATATATACAATACTTTATCTGTTTAAATCAATTTTGTGGTTTATAAGATTTGGAAATATGTAGTTTAAACAATTTATGAGATCATGTAGGAGTAGGTTCCTATAACCCTGTTGTTAAAAAATCGAATTATAAGATACTAATTAAAGTACTGACTATGGCAGTTACTCAATAAATTATTTAAAAATGTAACAAATAAAAAACTCCTACAGTATGAAAACTTAAAAACTTAGTATCCTGTCTCATTTATGTAGAGAATTAAATCAAACAAATTTCGAAGAGATTTTAATATAATTCACTAAATTTTCTTCGTTCATTCCTAACCTAGTTAATACGCTTAAGATATAGTAACTATTCAAACAATAGAAAGCAGTATGTGTACATTCCCTTTGGAAAGCCAGGCCGTGAACTCTGACAGAAGAAAGACTGCTAGAGTTTCTTTAGATGCACACCATATCATTCATATGGATAACTATAAAAGCACGCTGTTTCAAGAATATAAGAAGCAAACATGATTCTATTTGATTAACAGAACCTGTTTTTGCATTAAGACAATTTGTATTAAATTAATCCAGCAATCAAATATTTTATTATATCAATCAATAACAAAAATCTGACGACCACTGCCCCTGATTTATCAAAAAAAAAAAAAAGGCTTAACAACAGTACAATTTCCAATATAAAAAAACTCATAAAAAACGAAGTCATTGGTTCCATTGTTTTACAAAAACACAAACTCATATTTATATTAAAATTAATTGATACCAAACATGTAAATCTTACTGAACTTATACTGATAATTATTTTGAAACTAAATGAGAATTATAAAACGGTTTAATATGCAACATATGACCATATTTTACTGTAGTAGCATTAAATTAATACTATGATGTATGTGACTATTTCTTAGACTACTGAAACTATTTCGGAAAGTATAAAGTAGAGTGAAAGTAGAATGATAAAGTAGAATGATAAAAATTACCCAGAATAATAAAAGCTTACCAAAAGTCGTAGTATATTGATGAACCCATATAAATGAAATCATTTAGAAAAAACAAATTTTTAACTTTGAGTATTATAGTTACACACATTTCGTTGTAAAACTAGCATTATAATATGGATCACTTAGTAACGATAGCTCCTTTTTATATCATATTCAGTTCGATGTTTTGTTTATTGTAATTCTTGGTTTACCTTCAGTGTTCACCTTTCCATTTTTTTTTTCTAAGTTAAATTATTGCAAATAAATTTGGATTTAGACACCTAAGGAGTCTAAGTTCTGCGACGTTTGTGTGTTCTTCGACAAGTAGGTGATTGACATAATGGCTTACCATTAGATCGACTATCTCATAAGAGGAATTGAATGACGTATGGTATGAGTATCAGATTAATTTAACTATAAATTATTCCGACGCAAAGAGTTCAAAATAAAGCTGTTGCAATATTGCACCACCAATAAGTTTTTTTTTTACAAGTTTACTATCAATGTCGTTGTGTCTCAATACAGATGTTACATCTACAAACAGGACGTAGTATTCATATAATTTCAAGTCTACACAGCATTAATAAGAATAATTAATATATTTGTATATAACCATAGTGTATCAAGAAAGTCGAAGTTAAGTGACAGTTAAACATCGGAGTACTGAAGTTGTGGCAAATGATATTCTATTTATGATGTAAGTTGCATAAAAGGGGAACATGGACATAGAACGCAATAGCTACAAGTTGAACAAGACCTTAATATACAATAAGTAAGCATCAGTCATCTAAAGATATAATATAAGTGATTTGTCTTAACTCTTTCAAAAAGATCTAATTCATTGTATAGACGTACTGACGTGTTGTACAAAAGGCTCTGTAATATTATGTAAAATTCCGCCCATATAAATCAAAATCTCTTAATTTGTCTATTAATTTGCCTCAGAAGAATGAAACGTATATTCTTACCCAGAGCTGTCAAAAACACGGCCCGAGGGTCACATGCGTTAATATTTGTGCGGCCCGCACAATATTGTAATCTATCAAAATTATGGAAATTTTCTTTTGGTGTACTGGTAAAACTATATTATTTAATTCTATAGTATACCAAATAAATAAATTTAAATTAATAAAACTAAATTTAACATAACAACCGTATTTTTTTTTGTCGAAAACAACTATCTGTGGCCTTCCAATCTATACAGTCATTTATATTGGCCCGCGATCGCAACTGGTCTGGACAGCCCTGTTTTAACCTATTGTTCAATATTTTTTAATGCTTAATTTGTAAGCAAATAAACAGATACTTTATTATTAGACCAAAGATATTGACCATTAAATTGTGGAACAAAATATTTAGAATATATATTTGCATAATATGTAGAATAAGAGAATATAGACTTTTTAGACTATATTCTAATATGTTTATGTGTTTAATATGGGTATTATAAGGCTTTAATTGTAACAATAAAATTAAAAGAACATATATCTGAAATCAAAATAATATGTAATAGTATTCATAACTATTTAAACTTTTATATTTTCTATATTTAAATAATTGTTAAACCGCTCTTCAGTAAAAATAAAGAAAAAATGAGACAATAATTCTGTATCAATAATTAAATTATTATTAGACTGTCATTTCTATTAATTAAAGTTTAGCTGCTAGCCACATTAATTAAATTCAAAATCAATAAAGCCAAAAACCATTCATTGGATGCACCATTGATGTCACATCTGGTGCGCTCTGCTGGCTGTTGGCTGCTAACTGCTAACTGCGAGCTGTGAACTGCTTGGCACTGCTTGGTATTGAGTAAGAACTGCATCCCATTCATATTGATATTTTGCATTTAAATTCTTAGCCCCAAACGCACAAAGCAGACTGCGAGGATATCAGCCAGAAGGACAAATAGACGAACGCGCAATCGGCCATTCGAACACTGAACCAACGAAGCAAATAGACCAATATCAGATGCAATAACGACCACAACAGCTTCGAACGTGTTGAGCTCGCATACTAAAGCTGCAAACTGTGTTGGGCCACAATGGCCACTATTTTACTTCCACACTAATTGAAGCTCAATAAAAAACACCATTATTTTGATGTCATAATTCCTGAGGCCATTCTTCCATTGCACAATGGCACAATTGTTTCTGCTTTCGCATTTAGTGCTGCAAATAATTCCTTGATGCCGGGCAAATATTTTCGGTTTCACAATTACGAGTTTAATAGTATCTGAGATACTCGACGATTTTATAAATAAATGAAAATTTTTGCTTAAGCTAAAAATTTAATTGATATACTTCGATAATTTGTAGCTTTAATACTCATTGTATGAAGAGGTGGTACGAGTGTCTGTAAACTTCAATTTACAGATGGCAAAAACAATATTATATACACAATGTTGTGAAATATTTTATGGAATTATTTAAAAGAAATCAAATAAGTCCACATATATAATTAGAACCTATATAAATTATTTATAAGTAGTTAAGTAAGCCTATATTTAGTTAGAATATATACAAAGGTCTAGTTAGTGGAGTGATAAATAAAGTAGTTGGGATGGAGCTTTATAAATATGTTAGCACGATAAATTGATATATATAGTATTATAGTATTATACAATATACAATATAGTATTATGTTATGTTATTATATTATAATTATTATTATGTTATAATTAATCAATATAGTATTATGTTATGTTACATGATCACCAATATTCGAAATCGAATTGGAAAATAAAGAAGAAAGAAAGAAGATAAATTGATATTTAATGGTATTAAAAGTATGAAAGGTGTTGTATTTTTTATTGGAAAATGTTGTACTTTTACTTTTTATATATGCAACTCACCAAGAGTTTCGATTCAAGAGTAGAAATTTTGTTTTAAGAACTCAATTGTAGTAAGGAGTACGGTTTATGCAAACTCTGTAATTTGATGAATGTTATATGAGAGCATCTTCAGCTGCAAAAGCTCAGATATTTGCCAAAGTTACTCCAGGTTGGTGGGTTAAGTTAAAGTATCATTCTTCAATTAGCCTTAAAGTTATATCATTTCATATTTCTAATCATATTAGAGAATGGGTTAGGTGGTTAATGATTAGTTAGATGTATTTATGATCAGTCAGAATACTCACGAACGTAAGTATTATAACTGTATACACATATGCGGAATATGATATCTACTCTTAAGATTTATGAACTAAAATGCTGTCCTTACTTTTCAATTACGGCAGGCAAAAGAAAGATAAAAAATAAAAATTAAAAATAACATAATTACTTTTTAAATAACATTTAAAAATATAAGGAATTCTCCTGATAAAGGCAAAAGCGAATGCCGAAATACTTATAGGAATAGACAAAAAAAAACGATCGAAATAAAAGTTAAAGTCCTAAAAAACAAAACCGACTTTAAATGTAAAAGAATATACATAAATAAAAATACAATAATTTTATTGATAATGCAGTTCATATTTTATACTAAAAATAAAGCGTACTCACTTATTTAGTTGGCCATTACTGTCGTAAGTCGTCCTTGGCCGGATACAGTAACCCCCTTCAATCAGCCGGATTAGTCACATGTGGTCATCTGACTCTTCGTTCGAGGATACGGATGACATCTATCAAATGTTTCACTAATTGATACCGAATCAAACATCTTTTTAGCAGGAACATTTTCTCCAGTTTGTACGAATACTAT